AGGAAATCTATGTGCGCACATGGAGGATTTAGATGTTTTTATGTTGTGCCTTGAGGCTGTTTTGCATAAAAGTGTGATCCATGAAGCCGAACTTCTGTCAAGAAACCTCAGAGGTCCAGTAAACTTAAAAAAAAACTGAATACAACTCATAAAGACGCCCAATTCTAACAACTCAATCTGAAAGCAAATAATTCAAGATGTCTTAATTTGAAACATGGACTAGAGCTAAACTTAAGTCGCACTTTTAGTTGAGAAGCATCTTGAGTATACTGACCTTTTATTAACTTAAATCCCTTTTTATTTTTGATGAATGTTAAGTCACCCGGAGATGTTTTCCATCATCACTTTTTCATAGTCAGGAATTAGTCTTTTATTCAACTCATTTATTACACACTCTGAGATGCTCTAAAAATGAAAATGGATTATGTTTTACAACGTGCTTTACTTGACTTTATAGTAGCAGAATCCATTCAGCCCTCTATTTTATCATGGGCTCAGACAAACAATCAGTACACTGGCATTAAATCTACTGTGCATGCTTCTATTGATTTTGGATACTCTATTACCTTTCCCCAGTGCAACCTCAGGACAGAGTTTCACTTTTTCATCCAACTTAGCTTAAAGTTTATTTGCAACCTTAAAAAAAGAAGATTAATCTTCCCCGTATAGAATTGACAGAAAAGGGTTAACAGTGACACCTGAGTTAACGTCTCAACTGACCCACTTTTCCATTTGCATCTTGATTGGACTGAATTTAATTCAATCCAAGAAGAATCCTGCAAATTTGAGGAATGATAGTGTGAGAACATGTTTGTGCAGTAATAAACAGAACAGAGGGTGAAAAACTGGGAAATGTGATAAGACATCAATCTGCATAAAACCAAATTAGTTTAGAAAATCTGTTTTTAATTCCAGAAACCTGTGAGAAGATCACAGTATAGGGGCTACTGTAGTTTCCCTACCACCTTTTACCAATACCTCCCAACCACATAGACCAGTATAAACACTTGTTGTAGTCATAAGATTCAAAAGTAGGCCAACTTCCTGTATTGAATTGTGCTCTCGTTGTTATTCAGTCTTTTATTTGACATTACCTGGGTCACAGCTGACACCTAAATAAATCTGAAACTATCCTACACCCAAAAGGTACATCTAAGCATCACATTAATTTAGTGGAATCCACAGATGTAATTAAAGTCAGATGTAGTCATGCCCCAATAATGAGACAGTGATATTATAAGCCTCAATTTACATATGCACACAGTTAGTGATTTTTCTCTCCAGCTGTCTTTCCTTCAGCTGCAGCTGTGCTGCTTTTTTAGTCTGAATTATGTGTTCAATTTCATTTTATTTGTGTATTATCACAGTTTGCTCTAAGTTTGAAGAATATGCATGTGTGCTTTGAGTCGATGGATTGAATCGATGGATTGATTCTTGCAGCAAATAATTCCTTTTTGACCTCCTCATTATGTGTTCGTTAGCATGGCTGGATTCCTTTAAGGTTATCTATTATGGCATTTTTCATCAAGTTTTAATCAGTCCCAGAGGTCCCACAGTAGTAAATTTGAAGTTTGTTGTCTAAAGCACCAGTTTATTTTTGGATATCAGCCAGCCTGTACCCCGCTCTTTTTGAGCTCCACTGAGAACGGGCTGATTCTACGCCTGTACCTTTAAATGATAATGAGCCGTGTGTAACCACGCCCCTCTCTGGAGGGGGCTGCGGCTTTCGCTTTGATTCTATTCGCTAATGTTTCCAGCCTGTGCAGTGTGATGGCTTGTAGAAGCGCTGTGGTTCAGCCCTACCAATTTGACACATAAAATATTATGTGTCTTTATATTTGTCTTTTTACTTTGTCAGTGTGTCATGTTACATTGCTAGGTAGGTTAGCTTATCTGACGGCTACTTCTCACTTGGAGATCTTTTGGTGAATACCCAATGTTTTGAAAAGTGAAATGTTATAGTTACAGTATCTCTCGTGACTATTGCCATTTGGTGTCTGTCCGTCCGTCCGTAATGTGCCCTGCTTCGTGCAAAAAGACAAACAAAATGATAGGATAGGACGGACGAAATGCTCCACCCATCTCCGTTTCTAGGAGGGGCTTATGCGGTTTTGTCGTCATAACCACACAGCTTTTCCATTCGCCCGTTTGCGCTCATGTTTGCAGAAAGGAGGGGAAAGCAAGAGAGGGAAAGAAAGACATTTTTTCGTGTCAGGGGAGTTGTCGGCTTCGAGGGGATGCATATTATTGGAAGAAAACCACCCAAAAGTGGATTTCTCATAATAGGGGACCTTTAAATAATGGTTTCAAAGAAAAAAAGAAATAGTGCAATCAAATAATGTCCGTGAAAAATGTTTAAGAAACAGCACAAAGAAATATTAAGCATATCATGCCTGTAGGTGCTATGTGCGTATACAGGCTTGTTTAGGTGTAAGTTTTGATAAAAGAATAAAAAGCACTTTTTACTGTCCGGTGTCAAACCTTGCACCAAGCTGAGCCCCAAACCCTTTCTACACTCTTTTAATGTGAAATTACTGTCATCCCCTCCAATCAGAGAGGAGAAGTTTGAAGACTTGAGGTGTAACTTTCTTCTGTCAATCACAGCAAAGCAATTACACAGGAAGCTGGAGCTATTAGGAGAGAGGAGGTGAACGGCTCCATGTGTCAGTTTGACTTCAACAGATCTGATCTCCATCCTCCTAAACTCAGCCACAGCTGGTAGAGGAAGTGAGGAGCAGGCGTGTACTTTGGGAATGGGCCTGGAGATATTGACTCGGTCATTGATTTTTTTTTTTTTTTGCACAGAGGGTAGAAGAGGAGGAGGAAATAAATAATAATTCTTGTCCAAACATTCAGGCTTTATTTTCAACAACAACAACAACAACAGTTTTTTCTTCTCACTTCTTCAGTCTGCAAATGCACACACTGACAGACCTGTTTGAGATGACAGTCATTAATGCTGAACTCGCTTGAGTGTACGATTTAAATGACCTATTTCAAAGTCATATTTTATCTTAACAATTGGGTAGTTTTTTTTTCTCTTTTTTTTTTAAAAGAAAGCAGCTCATGCATAAAACACAACTGTTGCTTGGTGTGTCATGTGCGATGAATCTTTGATGTTGTTTGAGCAAACAAGAAAAATATTCCAGTTATTCTGGGCCATGAAATTGCTCTCTACCATGTCATTACTACTTTGACATTCTCTGCTGCACTTTGTCTCTTGTTAAGCTTCGGTCAAGCACACAGCAGGTCAGGAAAGCACTTAGGAGGCAAAAACAAAACAGTTTCAGATAAAAAAAAGAGGAATTTTGCGGTGCAGAAACTCTGACCTTGAACCGTCGTAAATGTAGAGCCCCTTTTATATGAGACTATGTGGCACACTGAAGGAATGTCTTTCTGACGTCTTAGATGGATCCATATCTAAAATGCCATTTGATGTGCAATGGCTTACTAGTGATGCTGTGTGATCCCTTTTATCTCATGTGTTCGTAAGGCTCAACATGCTTCTATAAGTAGCCTTGGAATAAACAAAGCACCAAAGAAAAAGGGAGAGAAGAAAGAAAAAAGTTTTCTCTTTCAAGAAGTTGTTGATGGCTTACGTAAGTATGCTGAGCATGCATTTTTCTCTTTTTAGTTGATTTGTGAATTAAAAATGAGTGTACCTGCTGCCAGCTGTGTTTTGGGATTTATGCAGTGCCAGAAAGAAACACCTTCTGGTGGAAAAAAAGAAACAACGAGGAAGCTGCATTATTTAAAACCTATGAGTCAAGTAACAGGCATTAAACAAAAACTGACACTCCCCTTATAAAGTCAATACTGCCTGATAACCTCAAAAACATATTGAGCAGAAATAATGCCCAATTAACATTCATTTGGAGTCCTGTTTTAGGCCACTTGACAAATTCAGGTCCAATATTCATCTGTTAGTTCTGCTTCACTCTCCAGTAACTCCTGAGAGCAAAACAACAGGCTCTTTAGCTGCTAATTGTTCCACTGTGTTCACCAACAAGTCACCATTTGTCTGCCTGACTTTGGTTCCAGCCTGTTGTGGCTACAAAAAAAAAGGCTCTTATGAGAGTCCAGGGAGTGTCTTCAGACTGTATAGTTGAAGCTGCAAAACCAAATGATACCAAAATAAACCTGCAAAGATCTGAAGGGGAATTTACAGTCAGGTGATCTCTGATAGTACCGCAGGCTACACTCCTCATGAATTCACAAACACAGATGGATATGTTCACAAACATTTATATAAGAACGAGTCTGAGTAAGTGAAACTACTGTGTTCATTTCCAGGTTAAAGAGGGGGTGTCATGCTTGTTAGCAACATTTTCTGCTTATTTTTGTGAGAGCTTCTTAGCAACTTTACAATATTTACAGTTCAACAAATTCTTAACATATTTCAGGCCGCTGTCTTTGAAAACCCTAATTTTAGCCTCTGTCTGAGATTCTTCTTTAAAGCATTTCCAAGCCTAGCATTCTAGAAGCCTCCTTCACTGTTGCCATACAACAAAGTTGTGACAAATAACAAATTTGCCCTTTTAAAGGGATATTTCGACATAAAATTAATTTAGGGTCAAACACACAGTAACACTGAGTTGGACACCCCCTCGAGAGATGAATGTTGCCGACCACTTGCTTCTCTTGTTATACAAACTTTAGTAACGACTGCAGGATAGTGATACATAGTGGTCTGAGGAGCCAAAAACAAACCTCAAACAAAATGCCACTCTATAGCCACAAATAAGAACAGCCACTAAACATCTTTTTAACTCTACCTAATTTCTTTAGCAAAGAGACTAAACACAACTCACCTACTCTCTTCCAGCAGCCGCTTGTTTGTATCGAGACCTCAGGCCAGTCCATTATGGACTGCTGCGGGGTGACGCAGCTCAAGGAAGAACATTTATGATAAAAAGACGTTTGGTGGCTTGTGCTGTGGCTGGGACCTTATATGTTGATGAAGTTTGGTGCTGTTCTGAGCATTATTTGTGGCTATAGAGTGGCGTTTTGGTTGAGGTTTGTTTATGGCTCCTCAGACCGCTGTGTATTGCTATCCTGCGGTTGTTACTGAAGTTTGTATAACTAGAGAAGCAAGCAGTCGGCAACATTCATGTCTCGAGGCGGTGTCTAACTCGGTGTTACAGTGTGTTTGACCCTAAATTAATTTTATGCTGGAATATCCCTTTAAGGAGAGTCTGAGCAAATCTCAAATTGATCTCGCTGAATTCTCACATGACTTTCTAAACCAGGTTGTAATGTATATGACTTTGTGCACACTTATATTTTTGTATTTTCAATAAAGACCATGTGAGGCGTTTTTAGCTGTTTAAAAAACAGGCTGAAAATAACTGAAATTCCACTTTATGATCCATAAGGGCAGAGGCGGTCATCAGCAAACTGTAAGGAGAACTTTATTTATCTCCGAGGGGGAATTCAATACCGTACTCTTAATCCCTGTAACCCCTGAAACGGGGTGGGAGTCAGAAAAGACAATTTGTCAGTATGCTGAAGAAGCAGCTTTATTTAATATCTTTGGCTGTTAAAGCAAACCAGTAGCAATGTTTTTATCAGAAACATGACCTAAAGGATAGAATCAGCAAGAAATTAAAAGGTATTGCTTTGTCTACATGGGGCGGCAAAATCAACAAGAATGGGGAAATTCCTCACGGGAGCTTTAACTACAAAACAGAATAATATTTAATGGTGTTGAAGTGAATAGAATCATAAATAACAGGAGTTCATTAAAAGGTAATTTCAGGCGTCTTGTAACTTGAGCTCTGCAGTAGGTGAGAGATGGTTGTGGTCTGTTATCTCAAACTTCCTTGGTTCTGGGCTTTGTGTACACTCCCTCGAGGGGAAAGCCTAAAGAGCCAAGAACTCGGAGAAAGAGGGATGAGAGACCGATAGATAAGAGGTTAATTAATCATCCTTCTCCATGCATTGAGTAGTTTATCTGTTCCTTTATAGAGAAACAAATAGAGGCAATGGGATTTGAAAGAATATGAATATTGATTTTTGTACCATGAAACACTGAGATGAAACACGTCTGGAGTGAAACAACTGTGGTGGATGAGTTATTCTGCTTTCTGCCAAAGTGCTGAAGGACCACAGCTTACGGGGGAGCACTTGGAGAGCCTTTCTCTCGCCTCAAGCACCAGTTGGCGGAGGGCAGGTGACCGAGGTTACAAAGAAAACATGGTGGGTGGAGTACACATGATACAGAGGACTGTGGGGAGCACTTCCACTGGAGAAAATGTGATAAAAGGTCCGCAGGGGTACCTCACTGTTTGGAGAAACTTGATGAAGGGTCCTCTGAGGGTGGAGAAAATTGAATGTGTGGGCTGACATACATACAGCAATTAATAATCATCTTGAGATAAACTTTTAGTCACATGATAAATCAGTCAATATGTTATTTTTAGTGCAGTTTTCTGCTATAGATTAATGGGTGGGTGAGTCAGACGGTAAAAGGACGAGGACTTGGGTTGAACTCCCCTGTTGATAACCGTACCCTATGTGTATGGGCCGCACAGTTCCAGAAATATTTCTAATCTTAACCATGATTTCAGAAAGTTTCATCATCAGTGCATCAAATATTTCTGCCACAACGCTGTCTTTCAGGTGTCCCACTGCTTGTGCCCTTGAGTGTAACAATGACAAACACACAGACATCAGCGTTTAACTTGTGAGACCAGGCAGGTAAAGGTGCCCCCGAACACAAACAAAAGCATGGACAGAATCAGAAAAAAAAACTGAGTCATGTAAACTGACATCAAGAGCCTGATAGGGTCATATTCAGGGGAAAAAAACAGAGTCTGGTTCTCGTCTGTCTTATTCTCTTATTCAGGTTGATTGACAGCATGTGACAGGATGTGCCAACAACAGCGGCTCTGGAGCAGCAGTTTACATTCACAACACTTTCAGGCAAGAAATATAAAAATTTAACTTTTAGGGTTGTCACATGCAGGAACACAAGAGATTTGAAATTTAAAAATGTGTTTAGGTTTCTCGCAAGGGTTAGGATTAACACTGTGAACTCCGCTGGATTGTCAGCGATCCCACGTGACACCATTAATATTGTTTACAGTTTCTCGGGAACGACACTGTGTATCTATATGGGATGAAAAGTGTTCAAAAGCTTACCCTTTTAGCGATCTATCGAGGGTTTCCAGGCATTTCTACACCTCCCACAAGGTTTACAATCCAGCCAAAAAAGTAGGTGTTTGATCAGAGACGTTTGATAGTAAATCCGCAGTAATATTCCGGTGAAAACATGATTATTTATCATATTGCTGTGATCAAAAAAGATCGCTATCACAAGATGCCGCTAATTTCTTCTGAGTTTGACAAGCTGTTTTTGTGACACCTTTTTCTGTCAAACTTTCAACCAATTACATAGGCTCATATTCTTCTTCTATTGTTCCCTTGACGGTAGTGTCCAATAAGAGGCAACCAAAGATCAACAAGAGACAAGAGAGTTCCCTGCTTGTCTGCAAAATAAGAAATAGTGGTCCTCAATGCTTTGAAACAGGCAAAGAAGAGATTATGAGCAGTATGATGTGGCCCTCTGTCTCATCCCAGACAGGAACTGCTTTAAGCTGGGGCATAAACAACTGTAAATAACAAAAAAACGCCTGCAAGAATTGGTGTAAATATGGAAATAGTTTCTGTTGTGTGTTTGTTCCAATCCCAATATTTCTTTTCTTGATAGTCAAGACTTAACAGAATGATGTGCAGGTGAGAAAAAGCTTGGTTACTGTAGATTTATGTGTGTTTTTGAGCGAAGTACTGTTGGTATCAATTTCTGTTTTGGTTTTTTGATTGATTTTGGTGGTTCTGAATCTACTGTCACATTCATTTTATTTAAATTTTGCACCCATAAACTGACAGCTGAGGTTGTCCTGAAAAAGAAAAATATATTTGCTGTGCTTGAAAGGATAGAGTTGCTACATAGATTTTTACAAAAAGGAAAAAAAAAATGCAGACCAAAATATAGCTGGGAGTTCAAAGGGTTAATATTCAGCTCAACATTCAGTTGTGTATCCTCCGTTCCTGAAGGTCAAAAAAACTTGCGAAACCTGGAACACTTTTCTCATTGAAAGAGAGAAAAAAACACTAGAAAAACACTAGAATTTTCACACTAGAAGTGCAAAACTATCGATAATTTTTCTAAGCTGCAGCTGGCTCTTTACACATCATATAATTAGTTCCATTAAATCAACACCTGCAATCCGTTGCACAGCTGGAGATCCTCAATTTCTCACGATAAAGGTGTAATAACACCCCTTCTTCACGATTATGGATAATTGTGACGTCCTATGCAGTCTGGCCATAATTGCATTTGATTGCGCTAACTATTTCACTATTTTTTTCGTGGCAGAACGACCCTCCATTAAAGCAACAATCGAACCAAAGAATATGCCTCAAGCATCAGTTGAAGGATATTCAAAGTAGAATGAGGGACCACAACATTAGTAGAGAGGATTAAACGACTCAATTTTGTAACAATGAATTCTAAAAATATCCTGATCTAATATTATCTGAATCATTTCTGCCCAATTATTTCCATTTTTTGAAGTTTTCTCCTGAAACCTGGCAAGGAGCTCTGGCTTTCCGTTGCATGTTTGATGCCGGCGCACAGCAAGGATCATAAACACAGTGCGGGGGTTAAAAGTTCAACACTCACAGCGCACTGTCTTGTCCTATTATCATCAATACCTGACGCGAGCAGCTGTGAGGCTCGAGACAGAACATGCATCTGTTCTATTTTCAAACTTCAACACTCTTGATGCTCAAGAAAAGCGGCACTCTCTTTTCACACATTCCCTTGACTGTCACATCCAGGTTACTGTACCATAACTTCTTCTTTCGTGGGAACAACTTCTCCTCAGCGGTGATGTAGTGGTTGTCTTGCTGTCGCACTTGACAGAATCAAGTACCATTTTTTTCTATTCTTTCAAAAAGCTACGAAACAAAAAGACCCTTCACAGCATAAATAAGGTTAGGGATAATTAGACATAATTGAGTGTAAGCAGACTCCGCTGTTTCATGTATAGTTTCCTTATTTTAATTTTGCATTGAAGAGGCAAAAAAGCCTCTCCTGAACACAGTATTATCCTGCCTTTACTGTGATATCCTACGCTAGCTTCAAATAGGATTCATCATGTCAGATTGCTAGTGACCAGCGGCAGTAAACGCCAGCTCTGCTAGCGAGCACCGTCTGCAGCTGCCTGGACAGCTACCGCGTTGACATTGCAGAGACTAATAAGAGTTATTGATGTAACATGTGCCACGATAAAAGGCAAAAATTACCTGTTCAACAAAAACTCTGCTGTCTCAGCATCTGTTTTCAGACCCAAATCCTGTCGGCGCTTTCTCCACCGCTCGAAGGATGACCCGATGTTTATTCGTTATTTATTTTATTCGTTTGTTAGATTCCTTGCTTGGTCACATTTCCTCTTCGTCTCTGCCCTTTCTTCTGTCCGCTTGCGTTTTCTTAGCACCTCTAGTGGTGGGGCAAGCAGAAGTGTTTTTTTTTTCCATCCTTCTCCATCACAGCTCCTGTAGCTAAGTTGCTACGCTACTTTTAGCTGCTCAGATCTCCGAGGAGGGCTGGGAGAGTGGGAGGGGATGAGTTAGAACCACAGGAGAGGGGTGTGTCGAATACAGCGAGGTGATTGGATGGAGAGGCAGAGCAGGAGATTGACCAATAGGAGCTGTCTGGGACGGATGGCTCCTATTGGTCAATGTTTTTGCAGTTGTAATATTTGCAGTTTTATACAACTGCCATGAAGCTCCCTGCAAACAAGACTTAGGACACAAGTACTGTTTAAACAACCTTACTAAGACTTTTGGTACAAGTACAAAATACTCTGGCATATTTTACCTGTCTTTGGTGCTCAGTATGATCCTGAAAGTGTTGCTCGACCAAATAAGTAAGTAAGTGCAGTGTAATATATTCTAAATCAAACTAAAACTACAAATGTGTGCCCCCCAGGTCCAAGGGAAATGTCAAACTCAGACTAATCAAGTTTCTCAGCACTTATACATTCGTTCTCCTGGACATTTCTTCACTCTGAGTAATGAAATCACAGCAGATTTTTATTGAAATGCAATGTGATCAACCCCTCCCTACAAGCAACCGGAGCAAAAATTACGTTTGCGAGCTTGCCTTGTAGGAAGTGTTAGTAACTGATGCAATAATATTTGACAAAAAACTGTAAATCTCTGCAGGGAAATAAAACAGGCAAGAACTAAGAGGAGGGAGTACAGATGAGTATTTGCAGGCTGAAATTCATCTGTAGATAAAATAGAATTATGTGTAATATTGAGCGGCCATAGTGGATTGTTTGGCTACAAGTCTACATTCAATTTGTATGCATATGTATAACTATAATTATTATCACTGACATATGGTATATATGAGCTGTGGCTCAAAAGCAGTTAGATACTTTATAGCTCCACTTTTTCACTCTGATGGTGTTATTCGTTTTATATACTGAGCTCATTATCTGGAGGTATCCAAATGTAAGGGCAATGTAAGGACAGCCTCCCTCCTCTTCATGCATGATTTAGCACACAAATTATGAAGCTATGGAGGCCCAGAGACGCTACAGACACTCCCCGAAGCTCAGCTGTGATTGTGCCAGAGAGTCTTTGTGATCTTTTATCCCCTTCTCGTGAAATGTCCTACATACGAAGACTTGGGAACTCTGGAAGTAGCCCCTCTGTCTCTGTGACTTTAAAGTCTCAGTCAAGGTAGAGGCTGATGAAACTACTGGGAGTTATTATTACTTTAAATAAGCTGGTTTCCTATGATTCCTGTTCCACTGTGGCTACTAGACCCACACCCACATACTCTGTCCTTGGCTGTGTGTCTCTCTGTGCTTTCCCTCTGCAGGATTACAGGACAGCGGAAAAAAAAACTTTTCAAAATGTGACACCTCCGGGGGTTAGTGGAGCATTTTCCTCATTTATTTTGGTTTCCATGGATTTTAGTTCTGCACAGTTTGATTTTTGGATACAGTGGCAGGAAGCAAAAGGGATGTTCTTTTTCTGTTTCTGGCTCTACAGTTTCTTTTATTTATATTTGTTCGTTAATGGAAATTACAGTAAAATAACCAGCAATTTCTCTTCAATAGACTGGTAATGAAAATCGAAAGTCCCCTTCCTAGAAATAGTCATGACCTCACTGAGAGCAGATGGATGAGTGGTCCCAGTAGGGGTTTGTGTCACAGTAAAATGGACATTTTTTTTTTGTTCACTGTATTCAACTTCCTCCCAACTCCTTATAAAATGCTCTCGTCTCTGTCATGTTTTTATGCTAAAAGAAACTCCATAATGTGTATATTTAAAAACAGATTTAACAGATTACTAATGTTTTAACTGAGGAGGGTTTTATAAATCAATATTTGGTGAAATTACCATTATTTTTAATTACAGCTTTCATGTGTCTAATCATGCTCTCCACCACTTTTCACTCTGCTGGTGGGTGATGTTATGTTGCTCTTTCCACAAAATGAAAGTAGCCGTCACATCTGTCCAGCAGCCTTTACTGACTTGTGACTTCCTGCTCTTTTGAACCATATATCTGTATTTACTTGATGTCAGTATTTAGTGGTGTTATTGGGCGGTGCCTCCACCCACCTTCTTTTCCATTATTGCAGGACCTGTGCCCCTATGGGTTGCAGTGTGAGTTAATTTTAAAGAAATATGAGGAAAAAAAGCTGGTAAGTTATTCAAATTCAACTTTATATTTCTGGCACTTTTCAGACAAAAATGTAGTTCAAAGTGCCTCACAGAGGCTAAAAACAACAATTAAACAACAATGAAATCCAACCCTCCCACCCACACTCACCCACACATACACACACACAAGCGCACACAGAGTGAGAATTCAAGATATATTGTTAAAGAGACATGGCCTTACACCGAGACATTGCATGAGGAAAGAGCTACATTTGGGAAATACTGGAGATAAAAGACAATTAATAGATAGATAGATAGATAGATAGATGGTAAAAAGAAAGACTAAAACCTGATGGACTAAAACAAGTAAATTAAATAAAATGAACAAATAAGTAAGACATTCGCAATAAGAAAAATATGAAGAGTTTAGCTAATAATGCAAACAAAGGGGTCACTTTTGAGTAGTTCTTTTTAAGACATTTGAATCTTTATATTATTCAGAGAAGTATCATGGTTGCCAAGGAAAGTAATCATCCCTTACAATTTGTATCTCATTTGCAATGCAATTATCCGTCAACTATCGTCATCAAAATGTAAACACAACACAGCCACCTCACTCTCACTCTCACTAAATTTCATGCCTGCTTTCTTAAATGAGACAAGTCAGATGCTTCTTTTTTTTTTAATTTAAATTACAGATTTAGGGAGGATTTGCATTAGCAGCATCACTCATTGCCAAAGAAAAAGTCAAAAATAGAATGAGAGTGTTTCCTAGCAACAATTCTCCAGCCATTTTAATAGCTTTAAGCAAACTCTTGTTTGACACTCTTTGCTGAACTACAGACTTGTTGCGGGGCACTTTTAAGAGATGCACTTTCTTTGGACAACAATCTTAAATCACTGTGACAAATGGTCAAAACGGTAAATGCAAGGGCTCATTTTTGTCCAATGTTTTCATTGATGCAGAGGATAAACAGCTGGTTTATTAGTTTTAAAGTAGGCTGAAAGAGTTAAATTCATATATGAAAAACTTTGTTCCAAGTTAGACCAGAATAGCCTGTACAGAATATATAATTTGTTACTTTACTGAGTCAATACAAACACAGTGTCCAGTCCATCTGCATCTTCAAATGTGCTCATAAGGCTCTTCTCCTCTCTTACACATTTTCTTGGACACTAGGGCGATGACTCTCATCACAGCTGACATACAAGTGATTGCGTGGAGTACCAGCAGCAAGACCAGCATCTGACAAGGAAATCCACACCAAGACTTTAACCTAAAAAAGAAAACATGGGTATTTTTCCAACATGGGAACTTTTAAAGGGATACTCCGGCACAAAATTAAGTCAAACACACTGTAACACAGAGTTAGACACCACGTCGAGAGATATATGTTGTTGACTGCTTGCTTCTCTAGTTATACCAACTTTAGTAGAGAGAGCCATGCGCTCACCCAAAAAGCCACTTTATAGCCACAGCTAATGCTCAGAACAGCACCTAACTTCATCAACAGTACATATAGGATCCCAGCCACAGTACTAGCCACCAAACATCTTTTTAGCTTTACCTGATATCTTTAGCAAAGAGACCAAACACAACTCACCCTCTCTCTTCCAGCAGCTGCTTGTTTGTACAGAGACCTCTGAGCGAGTCCCTTAAATGCAGCGGGGTGACGCAGCTCAAGGAAGAACATTTATGATCATTACTTTATCATTTCCTTGAAGTAATAATCACCATATTTATCATATTTATCATTTTGCACTGCACACACGGTAGTTCTTCTGCCTTAGCGTCTCGGTGCATTTCCATGAAGAAACGTCAGCATTTTCATTGAAAAAATCTTGACAGAGTGTTTCAGAAATATCCTCATCTTGAGAGCGCTTTTAGGCGATTTACCGTTGAGGTCAGCTAAAACACCATTTCGGTCATCATTAGAAAACAAACTTTGTTATATCGAGATATAAGTCGTCATAATGAGATAACAGTGCATAAAAAGGAAAAATCCATGGCCATTCTCGGCTTCCATATTTAAGTGAAGTCAAGCTGGAAAACATAAAGCACGGATATACACCAGGACCTAAAGAACAGTAGCTTCTCATCCCAATGCAGCTCGTATTGTTTTTGTTGACTGATTGGCTTTCATCAAAGCTAGCTGGACCTCAGTTTAATCCGTTGTGTGTTTCTTTATCTGGTTGGATTGCTTGTAATGTTTGCCTGAATTTAGACCAGCTGTGTGCATGCTGTGCCCCTCAGGGACAGAGCCGGTTTGAGCTTCACTCTTTTTAATTGGTTGTCTGTTTTGGCAATTTGAAGCATATATTTTGTTGACCGGGTCTAAAAGAGCTTTTTGATGCTTTTATCTTCCTTTATTTATCCTGTATAATGATGGATTTAAAGGAATAAAGGGACTATGTTGGGGCTGTGAAAGCCACGTGTGCCTTACATGCAGTTGTTTTGATGGTAATGTTGATATTTGTGTAAAAATGTAACTACCTTTTACAGTTTTTATGTCAAACAAGATCAGATAAATAGATGAGTCAGTCTATCTGTTTGTCAAGGTCAGAAAATGTTAGATGACACAGAATTGTGATTGAACAGTACCCTAAAAGGCACTTCATGTCACATGGCCTCGAGCATTTTAACTTGTTTGATTTTTTTTCCTTTTTTCAACATTTATGTAACGTTCATGTGCACCTTTTTTTGTATCCGTGTAATCCAAACACTGTTAATTTGCTGGCTAAATTGACAAAAAGATCAAATTAAATTTTTATCAGTATTCATGTCCAACAATGAATACACATCAGTTATTCTTTGCCTTGTAGAGCAGTAGGCACACTGAGTTCAAAGCAGTGTTCATTCATCCTTGTTAGAAATGTGGAACTAAACCAAATTTAAAGGCCGCTTAAAGCAATCACTTAATCTTTTGATAAGGCTGTGAAATCCTTGATAGTAATAACTGATGTGTGTGATAGGATGAGTGCAGCGAAGTTGATTTTTGATAAAGTTTCATTTTAAATCTTATGCAACAGCTGCTACATCACTTTGATGATTCATTTTAAATTTTTTGTTGTCATTATTTAACGATCATCATCATTATTCAACATTTATATTGAAGAGCAAGATAAAAATGTGATTGTGATAATGAAATTTCATATACTTGAAAACCCAGGGAAACTACCGTGTTTATTTTCCTGGTTTTCATTTTTCTGTACGGTGTAAGAGTTGTCATTAGGTGACAGTGATGCTGTGGTGTAGATGATTTGTACATGATTCAGTATCTCCAAGGTAAATGTACAACATGAAGAGAATCTGTGTTGGATTTTCACAATTCTCTAAGCACCTGCGGCGAACAAGTCAAACACTGTAAATAAAATTAATGTTTTAATGTAAATTCACCTGCAGAACATTCCAACCTGGCACGCTCCACTGAAGTGACTCGAGTTTAAAATGAAATGTGAATGATAAAATGTGCTCAGATAGATGCACACATGTTCATACGTGTGCACACGGGGGATTGGTTGCATTGTTGCTCTCGCAGTTGTCTTGCCCACTGAGAGACAGGAGGACAGAAATGAGAGATGGCCCCTGAGGATGTGGGCTCTGATTTATGTGATGTTGTAGCTTGATTGCTCTCAAACAAGTTGCAATTCAGCGTCTGACAGCCCCATTCCAGTTCAGTATAGAATCACAGTCTGTGTTGTGTGTATGTGTTTGGTGTATGTGTATGGTTCGTGTGTGCTTTGAGTGTTCTGTCTCACTGGAATATACATAATCAAGAAGGCAGCCATCAATGGGACTCTACTTATGTACGGGTTTTACCGTTCAAAATTGAATTTGATTTTACACAACACCCCGAAGTAGCCCAGCCCTTTAACGCCTGAAATCACAAATTATGGCCAGAAAATGCAAGTTTTTTGGAGCTGAAATGTTTATTTGACTTACTTCTGAAAACCCCAAAAATCAAAATGTCCTTAGAATTAAACAAATATATTTGTTTATCTCGTTTGATACATTAGATGTTTTTGGAAACTGATTAACCACAAGAGGACATTTTTGTCATTTATCGGACTGTATTCAGCTGTTTTATGATAATTTGTTGATCATATTGATTTGATAGAAGTATCATAAAAGTATCAAATATGATACAAAAGGTATTAAAGGGCTAGAAATACCTTTAGTGACATGCACATTGATTTGCGGTTGCACCATTGACTTTTGCCTTTTTCAAATTCATCCCCAGGTCTGAAATATAGTATTTATATGTCAAACTGTTTTTATGACGTGATTGAAGGTTATTAACTGTGGGCTACTATTATTAGGCTAGAGTTTATGATATAACATAAACTCCTACCTCTCTATCCAAGCCTCAGTCAATGACAAGTTATAACTTCATTTTTTTCTCGAATAACTTCAGCAACTGGATTATTAAAAAGCCTTTTAACTCAAGCCCTCATTAAAATCCAGACAATAAAGCGCACTGTGCGTTATGCACTGTGGACTTGATCGAGGCCATAGAACAACTACTGGACATAATCTTTAGATTGCTTTAGGCTGTATTCGGCTACATTTAACAACAAAACTACACCAATAAACTATACCAATAAATTATAGTAACACCTTTAAATTAATGAATCAGTAAATGAATCTAAGTATTCATTTGCTCATGCACTGTAGGACAACACATCACCGCCAACCTGCTGTACTGATAGAGAGGGAGAGGAAGAGAGATTCTTCTCAATATGAACTTTTACTTTTGTTTCCAGGCTGTGGAGCTGTCTAAACATATCTGTGAATGTATGTTTCATTTATTGTCATAATCCACGTATTTTACCATATAATACTGAAAGAGTGACAGACAGACAGACAGACATCACTATTTCAACATTCAAACCCATCTAGAAAGTCAGTTTGAACTGCAGAGTCCCTTCTTTTACTCAATGTGGTGTGAATTTTAACTCTGCTGAATAAAATGACAAAAACATTAAAGATATATTCCGGCGTAAAATTAAGTTAGGGTCAAACACACCGTAGCACTGAGTTAGACACCCCCTTGAGAGATGAATGTTACAGACCACTTGCTTCTCTAGTCGTACCAACTTTTGTAATGACCGCACGATAGCAATACACAGCAGTCTCAGGAGCCACGTGCTTAACCAAAACTCCACTCTATAGCCACAAATAATGCTCAGAACAGCACCTAACTTCATCAACAGTACATACAGGGTCCCAGCTATAGTACTAGCCACCAAGCATCTTTTTAGCTTTGCCTGATTTCTTTAGCAAAGAGACTAAACACAACTCACCTACTCTCGTCCAGCAGCCGCTTGTTTGTACAGACACCTCAGGCCAGTCCATTACGGACTACAGCGAGGTGACGCAGCTTAAGGAAGAACATTTATGATCATTTCTTCATGGAAATGCAAATAGACCGAGACACTTATGTAGAAGAACTACCGCGTCTGCAGTGCAAAATGATTAATATGGTGATTACTACTTCAAGGAAATGATAAAGTAATGATCATAAATGTTCTTCCTTGAGCTGCGTCTCCCCACTGCACTCGGTAATAGACTGTTCTTAGCATTATTTGTGGCTATAGAGTGGCTTTTTGGTTGAAAGCATTGCTCCTGAGACTGCTGTGTATTGCTATGGTACGGTCATTACTAAAGCTGGTATAACTAGAGATGCAAGCAGTTGGCAACATTCATCTCTTGAAGGGGTGTCTAACTTAGTGTTATGGTGTGTTTGACCTTAACTTAATTTTACGCCGGAATATCCCTTTAAGAGCAACTCTTGGAAAACAGAGTTAATTGTAAAAACACCTGTCAATACCCAAGATGGTACAACAATTACACTGAGGCAGCTGCCACTGACCTTTACATGCAAACAGACTCAGCCTTTAATGAACACAAGACCAAAGCTCACAGACAAAGTACTTTGAGGTCTTTGGGCGTGCAGTTTGTGGTGACTTTGCTTATGAAGTTGAGAGTAATTATTACCATGTTTCAGCCTCTTGACACAGAGGATTTGAAGGTCAGTGAAGGAGCAAGAGAAAATCCACCTCATGGCCCAAAAAGACAGCTTGCTCACAATCTGGCTTTTCTCTCTCTCTCCATTTGAAGCAAACTCCTCTGCAAGTCCCAGTGAGTTCTCTACAAAAATTGATACAGCAATTTTGTAAAAGAAATAAACTATCGCAGGCAGTCCTGGACAATGAAGTCAGAGCAGTACTCTAGAAATATGCTAATGTGGATGAAAGATTACTAGTGCGGTTTCAAAGGCAAGTAATTTGCCAACATCCTTTTCTAGCAAATGTGGATCATAAAGAACATTTGATATGAATATTTCTTCTATAGGAAATGCTGAACACAGAATATTAAGAAACAAAAGGGGCATTTCAGAAAGAACTCTATCAGATAAAGTGTATACGGTTACCTATTGAGCTGTAGCCAATTTTTCAGTCCAGTAATTGTGATGACACTGATTGGTCGAGGACATCCCAAAGATGTTGTGTGTGTGCGCTCCATGAAGACGAATCCAAACCTGGGTCTGTAATTATTGCATCAATGGTCTGCATCAAAGAAATCAGGTACAACACAGATATGATTCTGTGTTGATTGATGCTCCAGTTGAAATGATCAGATTGCACACAGAGTTGAAGTGTAACCAGCGTGCAAAACATTCCCTGGCAGGATGATACGAAGAGCATTTTAGATTCTGGGGACTTTCATGCACTGATGCTCCTTCTGTGTGTGCTTTTAAGTTGTCAAAGGTAAATGGCGTTTCCCCAATATCAGTATGCAAAGTACAAGCTGTTTTTATGGCATTTGCAAAAGCTGCCAATATGAATCTTTACTTTTTTTTCTCCATGGATGACTACACAAGAGAAGATTACCATCAAGGTTATTGTCTTCGCTCTCAGCTAAAGATTTAATTGGCTGATGGGAGATGCAGAAAGTAGTATTTGACAAATTTTACAGGGATGTGGATCAACTTCTTCAAAGCAAACGGACTGTAGCTTGGTGATTGAACTTACCTGAAATAAAAGAGGCAGGACTCAAGAGGTCAGACACAATATTCTTAAAAACTTAGTTTCCTTAGTTGAAAGTGGTTCATAAACATCACCAAGAAACGTTTTCAAAGGGATAACTTGTTTTTTGTGTGTAGTTGTATGATGTACTTGGCAATTATAATTATGTTAGCTACAAGGGAAGCTGGTAGGCTGGTTGTCAGAACCTTTCACTTCATTTTCGGTTTTCATCAAAACGGTCATTTTCCTATTACCAGACTTTTCTGCAGGAGTGCATCACTGTGGCAGCAAACAGTACTTATGCTGAGGTTCACTGAGGTTGGGAGAACAAGTCGGCCAGCTTTAAAAATCTCTAAGGGATGTTTGGGAGCTGAAAGTGTTGATTCTTGCTAAGCTACATGATGTGGATCACTAAATTAACTGGAGTCCCATCATAAGCATTTTTACTGGGGTTTCTTATACTTGAGAAAGGGGAAGGATGCAAGCCCTGGTCTTAAATACTGAGATTGATGGCGGATTATTTAGATTTAAAGTTATCATAATGGACATAATGTGTTTGGATTACATCTTGAACTTGACTTTGATTTTGGGGAGTCTTCGTTGTAGCGAATAGGGAGGAAATCGGCGAGTTTTAGCCAATTACCGATTAGTCCCAAATGGGCTAAAATTGGCCGATTTAATGGGCTCTAATCTCCTCAACCACATGCTGTATAACAGCATTTGTAAGGTGTTCGTTATTTTCATTGTTGTATTTGTTAACTTGTACAGAAGTCTAATCAACTCAAAGCTGTCTGCTGGCACCGGCATGCACTGCTCCACGACTCTGATCTGGAGGAGGCAGCAGCTTCATCTCGATAGCTGACTAACTTGCAAAATGTAACCCCAGATTGAACGTGTTTCAAAGGGATCTTTTTGGTGCAGATTGCACAATGTCCCTTATCTGAATTTGCAGTAGCCCATAAGCTTGTTAGGTGATATTTTATGGTTGACCCCCTGCTATTGAAAAGTATCTCATGCAACCCCATGAGGACCTGGTTTGTGTCGTTGAATGAGAAAAAGCTTTAACTTGAAGATGGGGAATTAAAAACCTAAAATGCTCTAGTCAGGTTTGGTCACTGTCAATGGGGGTATAGATTTTTTTTGGATGCGAAAATGGAGGGCTTCGACCTTTGAACAGATTGAGAAGTCATAGCGAATGAACTGATGGTGGTGGAAAATACTCTCATTAACAGAAAGCAATGCCTTTAGAAGCAGCATTAAATGAAAGGTGTCACATTTGCCAGGTGGTCCAATGTTGGCCAGCTTTTTTGTAGAATGCCAAGTTTGTGAAGTGGTGGACTATTAAATACCTTGGGTATAATACAAAATGTGGGACACTGAGTTTGCAAAGAATATGTATTGTAGTGTCATTTAAAACAACCTTGTCTGCAAAGATAAAGAATTTTAACTTTGACTCAATGGGTTTTAATGAACAAAAAATAAATAAAAACAGTAAAAGAAGTTAATTGAAATGACAACATAAAAAACAAGATGAGAATAGAGATCTGTATTCGTCATCTAAGGCTGCCAAACATGCAGCAGCCTTGCTGACAGGTCTTTAAATGGTACAGAAACAGAAAGGTAAACTTAAGTGAGGCAGACAGAGAACAGATGTAACAGCAGGCAGCTGTGAAGTCATTGATTGACATATCCTAACACTTTGCCATTGTCAGGAAGGGCTTACTTTCCAAGTTAAATAGGTTACCTTACAGAAAAGGGAAACCTGGCAGGGCTGGTTTTGCTATCTCCAGATCCCCGTCTGCTTAAATCTGTGTGAATATAGAGACTACAATGCAGCACCGGAGAGGACAGAGTGTGCTGGCTTGTAACCCATGACAAATAAGCAAAATGAAATGCACCACACACACATACATGCCCGATGTGTAACTAAAAGTAAACACTCCATGGTCCTGTTAGGGGTCGGTATAAGTGCCCATATGGGAGATTAATCAGCAAGAAAATAGCAGGAAAATACTGGAAGTAAATAGACTGCATTTATTAGTAAAATTAACCTGTTGTTCCACGTGTGCTCTCTTTTTGCTTCCCTAGATACTTCTGCATGCACATGCCAGAGCTGCTGTCAGAGGGATGGACACCATGTGAGGAAAATAGGAGAGAAATTTGACTATTTTTTGACTACTACTACTACTAAATTTGACTACTATGATTGAGGATGATTGTGTTTGTGAAATTTCTAATTATCTCTGAGCACATGAAATACACTTATTGTTTTGGTCTAAATTGTCATGATATGTTCTGTTAGAGTTTGTTTTTCCCTGGTTTTGCGTTTCCTTGGTGTATTGTGTGTTTCTGTTTCCTATTGTTCCTGTTCCCCTGTAGTCCTGTTTTGTGAGTTTTCAGTTTGTGTTTTACCCCATTTCCCTCATGTTCTCAGTGTTTTATTGTTTATATCAGTTTTCAGTGTTTCCTGTTTTATTTTGTAGTAGTTTATTCCCTGTGTTTCTTGTCTTGTTTTACTGCCTTTGTGTAACTCCAGTGTTTCCTCGTGGTTTTTCCCCCTTGTGATTTTTCTTGGTTTTTGGATTTTTGAGTTGGACATTTAGAAGCAAGTTTTTTGTTTTGGTTCCTTTTTAAATAAATCTGTTTTCTTTCTGCATTTTGGGTCCTTCCCTTTTTTTGTTTCACCCTGAAACGAGACATAAATTCCTATATTTTTCATATCACAGTGTATATTACAGAAAGGGAAAAAATATGATTTTTTTCTTCAGTGTTGTGCCACTCAGTATCACGATCGATATGGTCGATGGATGTACGCTTATATTGATATGAGACAGTAGCAAGAAGTTCTGAAGTGTACTGGAGAAGTGGGTTGCAATTTACTTGGATGTTTAGTTGAAATCAACAATAGAAAAGTAGCTGACCATGGTTTAGTGAATAGTGGGCTGTTGGCGGATGCCGGCAATTGTAGAACCCTTGAGATCTGTGGTATGTTCCCACTGTTGTGTGGATGTCCTAGGGGGAGATGTGTATGCAATATAAAGTGCATTTTATGAATAGAGCCTCCCTTGTACAATAATACAGTGAAAAATTCTGCCCTCTTATATCTGACGTCCATTACTGGTGACCTTATGAGTTTCTGCTTTCCCTGTCTTCCTCCTCTAGCCTCTAGCTGATTCGTCAATACATCAACATAGTTTCATCAGGCCCTTTTACCTAGCAGGCAGGATATCAAGTTCTTTTGTCAGAGTTTCATCGAATAAACAGCAAGCTAAAGCTTCACACACAAAAGTTTTACACATCAAACTGTAAAATTAAATTTCTTTTCGGTTCCTGTGTGTATGGGCATCGTCCTATTTAATGCCTCTGATCGTTGTAAAGGGCAATTGTTGAGTGGAGATCGGCCTGCTCTGATAATGTCCCTTGGCAGGCTGGAGTCTCATAAAGTCTTTCAATAGGCCAAATGAATGAGAGAACTGCTTTAATTCAGGAAAGGATAAAAGAAGAAAGTACAATGGTGTGAGATTCAGGGTATAAAGTGGATATCCCAAGAGGGTCATAGGAGCTCATCAAGGCTCCTTCCATAGTTTCTCAGCCCTCTAATTGGGCAACGCTGAGATGGATTATTAAAATAAGGCACAATGCACAGGTTCATAATAGGAGTAATAGGAAGAAAATCCAGCTGCTTTCCTCATCGCCTTCAATGTGTCTGCTTGAGCTTGTTCCAGAAAATGATAGCTCAGCACATAATAGATAGTCTCTGCATTGTGCTGTTTTATTGTGAGAGTAATTCTCCAGTCTGCCTTTGGGGTTGTGCTGTGAACTCTATCTGATATTGGGAAAAATATTAAATATGGTAATTACCCACTTTGGTTTAGATAGGCCTCTGCACCTATTTTCCCCCGCCTTATAATTGCTTCCTTTGGGATGATTAGTAATCGCTAGGAGATAGTCAACCGGGCGTTTATGCTCCGTCATTACGCACTGTACCAGACGTCCGAACATTAAGTGGTGCAGCATTAACTGAGGATTCAGTAAAGTGGTACTGTTTAGACTCACTCCAAGAGGCTGACCAATAAAATGTGGCTGTGTTATGATCCTGAGAAAATACACTGAACTGTCCTATAGTCAATATTTTTATGATTATCCTGCAAACAACTTTAAGCAATTTAAGGCCACCTCAGTGTCAACAGCTTAGCAGTCAACAGACCTCGAACACAGTTAAATCCTGCCACAAAAGGATGAAAACTGAGGAAAATTAAGGAGTAGAAATCAGTATCGAGGAGTAATTATTTTATATTTCTCACTCTTGTGTCATCTTAACCCTAGAACATTATCGCCGGGTGATTTTCACCCGACCAAACGTGTTTACGTGATTTTCATTATGTTGTGTTTGAGTATCATGGGTCCCTAGGTAACTTAAGCACTGACTTTGACATCTTTGAAGGCATATTTGTTTCCCTGATCCAAAACCTTTTCCTACAGGTGCATGTTCGGGAGATTTTTACCCAACAATAGCGATAGAGGGTAAAGTAGGTTTTTGTGGATTTGATAGCTGCATGTAGGGAATAAGGTCAGTAAGAGTGGTCCTGGAATTTGTATGCTATCTTTATTAAGTCCAGTGGTTATGGATAACTATCACAAAGTAGAGATTTTCAAGGGAATAAGAAATATTTTAGTCAGCTGGTCATTTTTACTCACTCAAAATATGCCATATTTTGGTTCTCTCTCCTGCAGCTGTTATTGTGCCAAGGACCCTGAGTCTTCACCAGGGAAGACTCACATGCCCAAGGAATAGGTGCGAAAGAAACTAAGTTTACAGTTTCTATAAAGAAAAAAGAAAACTACTTTAATTTGTCATCTATTGTCCTATTTTGGTATATTTTGATGACAAGTACTTTTTCTTGGGTATATGATTTCGGGTAAAAATCACCCGGCGATAGTGGTGGTGTTACTAATTTTAGCGATCATGTTCTGGGGTTAAGAGGATCGGAGAAACCTTGATGTTTCAAGGTCAGCTGCTTAATTGAGAATTTATGTTGACTCCTCTGTGGTTAGTTTTGCTTAAAAGAATAAATAAAGAATCCCAATGTTAAAACAGGCTATGCACGTACAAAGCACCCAAACTATCATTAGCAGCAGCCTGCAGCTGACTCAGGATCTGTTGTGCGTCAACTATTTTGCATATAAAGTGGCGTCTCCCACCTTCCTGCCAAACTCACCAATCAGAAGCCGCATATGCTGCTCATGGACAGGTCACATTAACCAATCAGTATTAATCTGCTCTTTTGAAACCTGAACGTCTTTCCAAAACGGCTTCAACAGAACCATGGGCTGATTTAGGTGATTTAATAGCCAAGGGAAGTGGCCCGGCGATCATCTGGGAGTATTTTGGGTTTGAGGCTGCAGACGTGCACCAGCAGAAACAGGTAGGCTACTGCGCAAAACCTGTCGCGCTAAAGTTGTTATATCGAGTGGAAACACCGACTTATACACTTGAGAAACCACCGCTGACACTTGCAGGAGTGCATAACGAAAAAGTCCGGTGAAAAGTTGAATAAACAGAAGCAAACAAACTACAATTACAACATCTTTTGCCAGTGTAGAGCAGCCGCAGTCACCGGGAGATAAGAGCTGCCATGACACGGTAGGGGAGAGTGGGGTGAGTTGTGCCAGTTTTTACTAAACGTCTTTAAAGCAAGGGGATGACAGTAATACCTCCAACTAAAATATGTGCATATAGTTTAGAAAGTGGTGCATCCATGGGAACAATCACTTTGGATCTTAAATAAATTGGTTGAGAAATAAAGCTTTAGAAAAACAAGTGGTCTTGTGGCATGACTTGCCCCCAGTGTGTGGTAAATGGTGTCATAGATTATTGAAGTAAAACACATCATTTTAATCTAATGCTATATAAAAGTAAGACAAATTCAATACAAAATTAAGTTTTTACAACATCTAAGCCCACTTCTCTATAACAAAAGGCCTTGTTGTAGAGAAGTGGGTTTAGATGAAGTGCACATGAACAAATTCAGTCACAATTCTCTGTGGTTTGGGTAGTTTCTTAAGCACATCACCTCTAGAGATGACTCCAGTTTCTCTAAATGTGTACAATAGATTTTGGGGTGTTGAAATTGGGGTCTCAGGATTGTCTTAGCTCTTATTCTACTCCTTTTATTGCATTTTAGTCATTCCACTGTTGGACGTATAGCTCATGTATTTATTATCTGATTCATGTTGCTGACAGGGGAATGTCTGGCATTTGTCTGTTCGGGTTACTGGGAAGTGAATTGCCCTTCGGGGTAAGGCTGCACGATATTGGAAAAAACTAACATTGCAATTTTTTTCAACCCTGAGATATATATTAAAGAATTCAGGAATTTTCACCAGATGACCTGAATAGCACTTTGGTATGCTGCACTGCTGAAATCTTGAGGACAGTTAGCCTGCACTGATCTTACCTCTTTTTGTGAATGTTAGTAGAACGGCTTCTGTCTGTCTCAGAGATAATTTTAGCTTTTATTATGCTGGGACGCTATTGCGGCAGAGGATGAACACAGAACATGTGTTTTGGTCGACATCATCCTTCTTGTAACCAAAATAATTCCAGATAGCTGACGTTGCTTTTCTTTTTGGCCACAAGTCTTCATTTTTGGTGGTTATCTCTTGTTCGTTGCTCATTTTGCAGTTGTTGTTGTTGTTACCTGTGTTGTGCTGCATGCACCTCGCGAAACACGCACCGCTTATAGTAGAGTGGACCACTGAAATATACAATTTAAAACCCACACAATTCTTATTTGTGGGGCTAGACAGTGATGAGTAATGTTCCGTAAGAACGAATGTGATTGGTGGATCACTGCACAGCACATGCTGAGTCACATGCAGTGTATCTCAGTCAGCTACCCTTGAAATCAGATGGGTTCATTCGCCTCCTACATCGCAGGCTCTTCAATGTGACTATCGCGCACATGTACATCCCGATGACGATGCTCAAAGGATATATTGTGCAGCCCTACTTCGGGGAATAATAAAGTTGTCTGAATCTGAATCTGAATTTACAAGGAGACCGTTGGTGCTAGCTCTGCTAGCATTAGCCCCACTCTGCAAACCTGTTTGACTTCTTTAACTCTTAGACTGTCTGATTCTGTGTCTACCGGTGTAAAATAATCTGTGCCCAGTTTTGATTATTCTCTGAGTGTTCTCTTATGATTGGAGTCGTTGGCTTGTAAGAAATTAAATTTTAGTTGCAATGATTGAGAAATGAACCACTTTGGAACATCACTAATTAATACAGAGACATGTTTTACTTTTAATTAGTAAAATGGCAGATGTTTCCTGCACGTATTGATCAAGAATATATGTCACATTCCTGGACTGTAATTATGTTATCATTTTATGTGTGTGTTCTCTCTTACACTGCAGGCTGTCATGTTGAAATCAGCCATGTGATTATTCGCTTTGCCTACTTTCCTCTCTTTGATCTGCATGATCAGCAGCCTGGAGAGGTTTTTGTATGTTTGTTTGCTTTCTTATTTGTGGGAACAGTTTTATGGTCCATTTAGGTATGCCTGCGTTGATCATTTTTAGTGTAGTGCTTTAAGCATTTAAAGTCGACATAATTCTGCAGAGCTTAATCATTGGAGAGACATTTTAACTGTGGTTTTCAGACCATCAGAGTTAGTACTGATGGTGCTGGGCACAGAATTTTTGCTGGATAGTCAATGCAAGAAAAGTTCCCTGCTTGTGTAATGTAACTCGTTTCTGTCCTCAAGTTATCTCTCCAATCACAGTCTAATATAAGGATGAAGGTTGAGGCTAATGTGGAGCAAAGTGTGTGCATCAATATCTGGTGGAAGAAAATAACTCGAGAGCAGAGTAGCTCACCTCTTGCACTGGATCATATGCTGTCTCATTATGTAATGACTCAGTCAAGAAGCTGGCAACAGCTGGGGGAAGAGGATGAGGAAGCATTTCAGGTCGAATGAAATATTTAGAGGATCCAATCATGTAAGGCTGTTAAGAGGCTTAATTGTTAATTCCACCAAGTTTAAAGGAATGACAGATGTCCGTGTATACCCTGTTCTTCTTTCCAGCATATATCGATGAGGCTGCTGGGTTTTGGCAAAAATCGTGACAAAAATACATTATTGGATTGATACTGAGATCACAGTTTTGAGACACTCATGATTTGACATATCAAACTCAAGGAATATTCTGGCGTAAAATTAATTTGGGGTCAAACACACTGTAGCACTGAGTTAGACACCCCCTTGAGAGATGAATGTTGCCGACTGCTTGCTTCTCCAGTTATACCAACTTTAGTAACGACTGCACAATAGCTCTATAGCCACAAATAATGCTCAGAACAGCACCTAACTACATCACATATAGGGTCCTAGCCTTAGCATTAGCCACCAAATGTCTATTTAACTTTGCCTCATTTCTTTAGCAAAGAGACTAAACACAACTCACCTACTCTCTTCCAGCTACTCTCTCTTGTTTGTAGCGAGACACCGACCAGTCCGTTACAGACTGCTGCAGACTGCTCATGGAAGAACTAAACACAACTCACCTACTCACTTCTAACTCTTGATTGGCCTTTTTTTATTCATTATATGTAATGGAACTGAAAAGTGACCAAGTACTAATTCTCTACTTCACTGTAAGAGATTTGACTGAAGTTTTTTTGACAAAATTCATTTTATTAAACGCCAGGTTTCACCTGTAGTAGAGTATTTTTACACCTCTTTAATAAAAAAAACAGAAGCTTTCTCACCTCTTATATTTCATGGCAGGCTGCAGATCTAACACATTATACAGTCTTTCAAGCCTTTACTTCCGTCCTTCAGTGGCGTTTTGGTTGAGCGCACGGCTCCTGAGACCGCTGTTATTGCTATTGTACGGTCATTACTAAAGTTGGTATTCAGAGAAGCAAGCAGTCGGCAACATTCATCTCTCGACGGGGTGTCTAACTCAGTGTTATGGTGTGTTTGACCCAAAATTAATTTTATGCCGGAATATCCCTTTAAGAAGACTGGCCATAGCCACAGTCTGATATAAAGGTAGAAAGGGAGTGCACTCCATTCATCATAAAGGATAAAACAAGTGCAACAGTGCAGTAATCGTTTAGTCTTTTATTATCATATTTTTATGATTGTGGGGGATCATGATCGTAACTGAAATTGAAATTCGATTAATTGCCCAGCTTAACACATAAAAGATGTGGCCAACAGCACTGTCTGTCTGTGCAAACCAAGTACTTGGCTGGAAACAAGTTTTGCATTTGTCACAACAACCAGCTCTGAAATGTGTTTCCTGTAACAACTCGCATGTGGTGCCCTTTACAGATGGAGGGCAGTTGCAGCAGGGAGATTGAAGGGACTCTGCCTTTAGGATCTGGAGAGTTGCTGTAATGTTATGATACAAACTATTGCCTTTAGTGATTTAATATCTCACCACTGCCCCTTCCAGCTGTCCTCTACTGTCAGTCACAGAACTCGATGGCCTGTGGTGAAATAGCATATAGGTGCTTCCTGCAGGTATATGTTTTTAAATGCACACCAGTCAGTGTCAAAAAGGGGTCTTCATGTCATCCCTGCCGCTGTAAGGGATCTTCCACGCTCATACAGTCAGCATAAAAACCTGACTAACGCTGGTGAGTGGGCGTGCCCCCTGTAGCCCAAGGGAATGAAGTAAACCTGAATCCATTCAATAAAAATGAAACAGATAAGACACCAGAGCTGCTGCGGCAAAAATGCAAGCGAAGCAGGATCCGTCTGATCCTGCTGGCTCTCCTGAGGTCATGAAGACCTTGGTGGTTGAAGCTTTAATCTGGAATAAAGGAGGTTGGGAGGGAATTCAAATGCCTCAGGGGGTGGAGGTTGGGATGTGCAAAGAGGAGGTACGGAAGAAAGTGGTCTATTTTGTTTAACAAGATTAGGTCTTAAATATGACCACCCTCATGCTACGTCAATGTCACTAAGATGTTGGTTGAGATCAAAGACCCTTTAATGTGCCTCTTATGGGGTCTTCTCACAGGAGTAAAGACAAAAAAAGTTTTAGAGTAATAATTGAAAAGCGTTTCAATGCAGATGAATGCAGGAAGGATTTTCTTTTTGAAGCCAGAGTGTGGATTATTGACAGAGGAATTTCTTGGTCCTCATTTAGGAATAAGTCAGAGTCCAAATTCCAAATTATTTTAGCTCTATCCAAGATCAGCTCTCGGTAATGACTTCATTATGATGTTGAGCTCTGTGTGGGGTTTTCATTATCACATGAAGAGAGGCAGTAGTACTTTTCAGCCCTGTCATCTCTGATTGGAGAAATGTGAAAGAAAATTACATTTTTATCCTCTGTAACCATGACAACCAGGTACAACTCGATAATCCTGGAAAGAACATTGCCCTAAATTTACAGGCCATTGTGGTTAATATGAAGAGGACCTCAATATCAAGGTGAAGCTGTGGATGTTGGTGGATGCTGGCTTATGGTTTGGAACTGAATGTACATCTGGATAATAAAGACATAAAGAAATTCTTGATATAATTTGTCACCAGCCATGTTGATAACTGTTTCTTCCTTTTTCCTGACTTTCCTAAAAGTCTCCCAAAAAACTGCAGCTTATTCAGAATACTGCTGTGAGCGCCTTTGCTGAAATAAAAGATACAGATCAGGGGCCTCATTTATAAAGCTTGCTTACGCACAAAACCTGGCTAGAAATTGCGTACGCCACTTCTTACGCAAGAGTTGGGATTTATAAAAGAAAAACTAGTGTAGGAATGTGCGCAACTTTAAGCAAACTCCACACCTTGCTTACGCTCTTTTTGGAGACAATCGGAGCAAGGTGAGAATAGTCCGGGTGATGCGTTCAGCACAACGGATGACTCGATGCAGCCTTTCTGTCCTGAGAGCTGCAGCTGCCGTACTAGGCAGTGATGCTCGCAGAAAGCGCAGACCCCACTGTGGCGGTGTAGATAGTTTGCCAATTTGAATTTACAAATGTGCAAAAAAACAAATTCCATTTACATGCATTTGTTTTAAGATTAATATGACTAAATCTTTTTGGTTTATGAACTTTCACCACATAAGCAGCGGTGGATAACGGAGCGTTTTTTTTTTTTTTTGAACACATGCACGAGTGTCACACGTGCATGTTTTTTTTTTATTCTCACCTGTCGCCGCCACGCTCTGATGGTGCAAAGCCACTTTTTTCTTTGCCTCCACCTTTAGATCAGACCACTTCTTGATTTCGGCACAGTTTTGTTTTCGTCTACGTCATCGTCAACGAAAACAAAACTCCACGTGTTTGCGCGCGCGCGTGTGTGTCTGTGTGTTGGAGGAGCACAGCAGGCTGATGAGAGCTGTCAGAGCGGACAGAAGCTGCTCCTATATGTTTAGCGTTTAACTGACTGAGTTTTGCAACTCTGTTCGTCATTTTCGTCTCGTCCCATCAACGTAAACGCACTTTCGTCTCGTCACATTTTAGTCATATCCGACTTATGTTTAGCTCGTCAACTTTACGTCTTCGTCGTGGAAGAAAAGGGAAATATTTCCGTCAACAAAAACAACCAGTGTTGTTCTCGTTGATGAAAATATTTCTTTTTGACGCTGGTGTCGACGAAAATATTTGACGAAATATGACGAAAACAACACTGTTTCGGCAACGCTGCGCTCAGTGCCAGCCGCAATTGCCACCACGGCAACGGCGTTTTTATTGGTGATGCCACTCGAATGGCCGCCGAATTAGGTCTCCCGTCTCGCCGCCACCTCATTTACAAGAACCTCCACCTCGATCTCTGAAAAGTTTCTTTTTCTACGACTTGCTGATGCCATGGTTAAGCGTGAAATGCCGTGGATCCACCAGGCTTATCTACATGCAAATCACATTCATGAGGTAATTTGCATGACCATACATGGTGAATTTTGGGTGTGGAGAGGGCGGGGAAGAATCAAATCCCTGCTGAGCAACTTTCCAGCTGGTCTGTGATTTATAAAGGGAAAGTGCGTGCAGGTGTGCGTAGGCAGGGTTTTATAAATCAGATTTTTTTTTTGCCTACGCACTTTTCAGCTTTTCAATTTACGTACACTTTTAGTATGGATCCTACGCCAGGTTTTATAAATGAGGCCCCTGGTCACCTGCGTCTTAAAACTCTGCATGAGCAACTTTTTTCCTTTAAGAACTGATTTTAAAGTTTTTTTTAACCTGTTTTTTTTTTTAAAGCTCTAAGCAATTCCTGTATGAGACAGCTGCTGCTCTGAACAGATTGTGCAAAAATTCACATAATGACAAAGCATGAGAGACAGGATTTGTTGTGGCACTGATTAGTAAATACTTCACAGACAGAAACATCCTGCTTTGTTTTTCTGTTGCTAGGGATTTTACATTGTTCCCTTTCCAAACTTTGCTGTTAAACCTCATACAAGCCCACTTATAAAAATATTTGTACTGTCCCTTTAACCCTAATCAGCCAGTCAGACAAACAAGATATTGAAAAAGATGACTTGCACAGTTTTGTTACAGGTTATTAAAGGAAATGTGAAAAAGGTTTTCCTAGAGATTGTCCATTCAAAGGAGTGAATGTGTTACTTGGATGTGCAGGTGATGTCAGCCTTGACAGAGAAAGTCGTGTTTTTAAATACTTGAACTGTAAAAGAGAAGTCAGGGAGAAACATGTAATATCGTAAAAATAAATGTTAAAAACTGAGGTTTGAGTTGGAGTTTGAAACAGACAGAAAAGAAATGAAAGATAGAAAGAAATAAGAAATGAAGGTTGGCTGTAAGGACCTGAGAGAAAGAATAATAACCAGGTGATCCTTTCATGTGTTTTCTGTCCCCTCTGCCTTCTCAATGGCAGAATTGATGCTGAATTTCTCATGAACCACAAAAGTCAACCAAAACCAGCGGCATACATATTCTCTTTTGATTGACTTGGAAATGGACATTGATCCATGAATAAATTTGTGCATCTATGTGCACACACAAACAGAAACACACAAAGGAAATAAATGGATCTGCTGCAGAGGCATAAATACACACTTGCCCTTTGATACTGTTGTAGCTGTCAGAGACCAGAGAGCATCATTAATGCAGGAGAGAGGAATCTCAGCTGTTATTTGTTTCAGAAGTGAAGACAACAAAAGCCTGAAAAATTAATTAACTTCATCAGAGAATAGGTCTGATCTGACCCCCAGCTGCCA